AAAATCAGAGAAAGCAGAGATAAAAGGTTATTTAAGATGTAGTTGAATAATAACAAACAGTTTCAACTGTTATTGCAGGATATGGAGAGATGATTAGTTTGAAATGTTTACCAATAAAAGATTTACAGATTTAAGATTTTCCTCAATTGCTTAAACACATTTCTTGAAATTATGCCTTTTTTTCTCGAAACTCTAAACACAAATCCACAACTTCTCACCCAATTCCCCAAACATCCTACTTTCAGGTCAAAATGAAGCTTTCCACTCAAAACCACTCAATCTTGCTGAAAAACCAAACTTTGTCGCCTCAGACATGAGACACAAGCCCTCAAAAACACACACACACACAGTCTTACACACTAGTGGGATGAATTCAAAACAATACTACAAAAACTGGTTATTAGTAATGTTGCGTGTGGTTCTCCCCCTCAAAAATCTTTTTCACATGATGAACAAAATAAATAACAAATGTATAATTTTGCACATTTCCACACATTTTTTATTCCTTAGTGTGCTGTACAGTACAACACACCACAACAAATTATTCTGTCCCAGCATCCTGTCTTTGGTCTGGGACAGACCAGAGATTCTCGTTCTCCACCTCCTCCCCCTCTCTACTCTTCCTCCCTACTCCTGCTCCGCCTCCTCCTACTGCTCATCTTCCTCCTATCCCATCTTCTCCTCCTCCACTCTTCCTCTTCCTTCACCTCTTCCTCCTATCCACACTGATCTTCCTCCTCCTCCTCATCTTCCTCCTTCTCCTCTCTGGTGTCCTCTTCTCTGAATCCATTGTTTCAAAACTGAATGAACTGACTCCGGCCCTTTTATCTCTCTATTGAAGTTTCTGATTGGTGTGTTATCAATGTTGCCTGTTTGTGTTTCCACCTGGGTAGCTGTGTTCTAATTGAGCTCAACCTGTGCTGATTGAGTGAACAATATTGAAATGAACCTTTGGGCCACCACTGCCGCCTAAATTTGTGTGTAGTTTAGAGAAATGGGTGTACTTTTTGAAAAAGCCTGGTTATAGTATTTAAGCAATGGAGCAAAATTGTAACTGAAAAATGTGCAGCATATGTTGACAATATATTAATTCCTGTGCAATTTCAAAAGAACCAGTGTGTTCATACACAAGTACTTATTTACAAAGTTAACAAAGCAAAACTCACAAGATGAAACTAACTAAAATGCACTAAACTAAGACAAAGAGATCTGTGTCCCTAATAAGGTAAGGACAGTTTGTGTGCGTGTGGGTGCGTGTGAGCACATGTGGTCAAACAAAGGACAAAAGTTGTAGTTCCTTCCTGCATAGACCTATGTGTGGTTGTTTTAATGCTGCAGTTAAGCTATTAGCCGCATTTCCACAAAAAGTGTAGTGTAGTTCACTGGATCTCCTCTTCCAGCTCTGCACTTATATCCTGCTGTGTGTGTCTGTGTGTTTGCGACGTTGCTGAAATATGGTATATGAAAGCTAACACTACAGCACTTCATAGTCATATTCTAATTTGTGTTGATACAAACTGACTAAAATAATGCACAGGTTGTCAATAAATTAAGATGATGTGATTAAGAGAGATGCAGAAAAACAGACAACAAGGGAAACTGTGCAATCACCTTCAGCATGTCCAGAGTGGAGGAGCGTATTCAGCACTAAAAGAAAAGAGAGTTCATCAGACATTATCACACTGACAGAAACTGTCAAAATGAGAATAAACAAAGGCATTTAAAAAGTTTCACAAATGGCAACTGTGGTTGGATAATGTCTAATATCAAAAAACATTATTGTATCTCAATCAACATTTTCACAACACTTCCACTTCCACAGACACACAGTCTTCCACTTTAAAGTCAGTCACCAGCCAAGAAAAAGACAAGAACATATATAAAATCCATAAAGATAGTAGGCCAATTTACGGGTGATCAATAAAGATATATATCATCTATCAAACGGGTAGCTCAAATCAAGTAATCTGATTGGTTCATATAGTGGTATAATGAGCCTATACCACAACTATGACGTTGAATTCCTTTACACAGATCCGTATCACTTCGCGATGAAGTAACATTAGAAAGTAACACCAGGCACAGTATCAGTACCACACACCTATCAACCACAGTATCACCTGGCAACAATGTTACCAAGAATAAGCAAGCAGGGACACAGCAAAGATACACAAACCACTGCCTCCACAGTACCACAATTCAAAAACTGTCAGGTGCAGGTCTGGAAACGAGAGAGATTATGGCTGTAGAGCTATTGGCAACTGAAACTTGGGGAGAAAGTGGAGTAATATCCTCACTGCAACACCAACATCTCCACCTCACAAAAAATGTAAGCCAAGTTCAAATTAGCAAAGTCAAACTACCGATTGATTGAGGGCTAGGCAGTGTTTTAGTGGCTGCACAACAACTTGCAAATAAATATAAATAAATAGTTCTGATAATTCTAGCCTTTGATGTATGTGGCTTAACAACTGTCATGCACTATGTAGCCTACCGGCAGCCTGGCAGGACTACTTTTTGTATTCATAAAGAAATAAAATAAAGCAACGCTTATTATGTCACAGTTAAGGGGCGTTGTTTGCTGGCAACCCCCTTAACTGTGATATAATAAGAGTAAACGATGGCCTGCCGTGAGCGATTGTTTAAATATAAATACAGTATTAAATCATCATTGCTGATGAAACAATAGTGTCACAACTTTCCCATGACACATTAACCCGAAACACAGAAAACCTGCAGTTTCTGGAAAAACTGTGATGGTGTGAATGCAACATGAGGTGTTTTTAGTAAGAATAGAGGAAGTCAATGATGTACTCACAGAATAACCCCAGCACACCAAACAAAGTGGTTTCCCTCTTCACATCCAATACTGACACTCTGTCGCTCTGCACCTGGCAAATATTACCACTTTAAAGCTTGAAAGCATACAGTATGAGGAAGACTAAGAGGAAGCTGTGCCAGTAAAAAACTTACACCTCTATCAATATGATCTCACAGGCTGACAACAAAAAATGTTTCTAAGAATGATCCACTCCTCCTTACTTCCCTTTTTCACAAAGCTCACACAAGTACAACCACTTCCTGCTCAGGCAAGGCAATTTAACTTGAGCCTTGTACATAGTCCCTGCTAAAAATAATGAATAAAGAATAAACACTTTGCACTTATCATATCAGAGAGAAAATTATGTAGGAATGGCACAGGTACATTTTATGAATGGCAGTATCATATTTGTGGATAAACAGTAAAATGTTTCACTGTAACACGTAGGGAGGATTTAAGCTTCTTTGTCATTCTTGGCCTGACCTTTATTGTGATGATTAATCTGAGCATACATCACATGTTCATCTAAAACAGAAGACCAATGTCAGGATTCATTTGTAAAACAGCCATGTTATAAAGCTCTGATATTAGATGATAATAGCTGTAACTAATGTTTTCATTTTTTATTAAGGACTTTAATATTTAAAGTCCTTAATAAAATTTAATTTAGGAAAATATTTTTACTTTTACTGTATGTTAGAGGGAGAAAAAGTATTTAAGCCTGTGTTTCTACCTCAACTTCACAGTTCCTCTTAACACTTTGAAATAAGTGTTGTAACAGCATAAATTTAGAAACTGTAGCCTAGTCATCACACTGACATCAAAGCTAATATGTCTGAAACAGTAAGCTGTCTATTCAAACTAAAACCATTAAAACAGCCACAGAAATGTCAATTTAACATAGCCAATATGAGTAAAGTAATTAAATGAATTTCAGAAAGACCGTTTGAATTTCCTGTTTTGAATTACATGGGCATACTTTTACATGTTTCAGCAGTCCCACCCTTGATCTAGTTTAATTTTAATAACCTTTTAACCTTATAATCTTCTTGCCTTAACTTTCAGTTAGCTGCTAGTCTCTCCTCCCGTCCTCTCTTTTAAATCAGGCTTCTCTGAGCTGGACCATCAGTCGTCCTGGGTCCTCTCTCTCTCTCTCTCTCTCTCTCTCTCTCTCTCTCTCTCTCTCTCTCTCAATTCAATTCAATTCAAATTAGCTTTATTGGCATGAATGACAACAACATTGCCAAAGCATCATATATACAACATAAGAACAATCCGCCCCATACATTTCATTAAACAAGTAATTAAAGCGTAAAGTAATCAAAGCGTATGTGTGTTGTGTTAAAAAAAAGGAAAAAAATAGAAATATTAAAAATTAAAATTAAATAAATAAATAAAACTGTAAGTGTGTGTGTGTTAAAAAAAATAAATTATATTAAAAATAAAATAAACAAAACAGTAAGTGTGTGTATGTTTGTGTGTGTGTTAAAAAATAAAAATATATTAAAAATAAAATAAATAAATAAAACAGTAAGCATGTGTGTGTTAAAAATAAAAATATATTAAAAATAAAAAATAAACAGTCTGACATTTGGGAAACAGAGTCCGTCTTGACTGTGTTTGAGCACCAAGAACCATAGATTTAAAGTCCACTTCCTCTCATCTTGCCGGATTCTTGCGCTCACAGCACGAAACATGGACCACCTGTCGAGTGCTTGATCTGGGATGTTGATGGGGAGGTCTCTGTAACGATGGGGGCACAACAGTCTCTGAATTCCGTTATCTGGTCAGTATGAGTCCCATTTTGTCCAGACCAGATCTCTAGAAGCAGAATTAAATTCAAACTGGGCCAGCATGTCTCCTCTCCTGGCTCTCTTTCCTCTCCTCTGAACAATCACTGCACCTGGTCCGGTTGTTTGTGCCAGGTGGATCGTGGTAGGCTGCTCTTTAATCCAAAAACCCTGTCTTAATATTTGTGATACCAGACAGTATAAATAAAATGTATTGAGCTAGTTGTGATTCAATATTCAATATATGTATTTGGCAAAAATATGCTGTGGTTACACCCAGTCTAGTTGTGTGACCTTTAAGTAAAAGGGAAGGAAGCAAAGACTCTAAACGTAGAAGAAGAAGTTTGAGAAACCTTCCAGTCCAATATTTATATGAAACTTATCTTCTGTTTTTCCACAGTTCCTGCTTTCTCTTCATATGCTGCAGTTTAAAGGTTTCTCTTTAGACAGTTAGAAGGTTTTTTCAGAAGCAGGGTCTCAGAGTGTCGGTGCTGGATCTGAGGATGGGAAACACTTTGCTCTGTGTGCTGGGGATTTTCTGTGAGTATCACTGAATTTATCTGATTAAATAACTCTTGCTATCTACAATAATTCTATAATATATATTTGATCCTTTCTGTCAGTTTGATGAAGTTTCAAACTCTATTGTAGTGCTGAATATCCTCCTCTACTGTGGACATGGTCAAGATAATTATACAAGTTTCTTTCTTTATTATTATATTAATCGAGATGTCTCTGTATCACTCTTGAACACATCTTTTTTCTGTCTAGACAGAAAAATATGTGTTCAAGAGTGTAATGTTATGTTAGAAAGGATTTTTACAGTATCTTACTAGCAACAGTGTTTCTGTAATTCAGATTTACAGTACTATAACTGTTTTTCACTTTTACAGTAACAAATATGTTACTGTAATTATGTAATTCAGAATACAGTACAGTTACTGTAAAAAAAATCTACAGTTACACTACTGTGACCCCATTTTGTTTAGATTATTTATATATTATTTATTTATTCATTTATGGATGCATTATTTTTTAAACATACACAAGTACTAATGATTTAACCCAGACAGACACAGTAATTATAAAATTTAAAATTCTTTATTTAAACATTTGTCATATTTAATGCACTTTACAAGAAATGTTATTTTCAGAAATTCATTTAAAATAACATAAAAGAAATTAAATTACATGTATAAACCTTACCTCAATTATAAGTGCATTCAATGTTACTGTCAAAACACAATGCAGAAAGTACTGTGCAGAACAAAGTATCTGGACGGCATACAGAACTGTATATTTACCAACAACAGAAGACCACAAAGAAAATACTCATCTGCTGACTGGGATGCTTTTTTACAAATAATCATTAACCGCACATAACATAGGAAATAACAGTAATAATAGATACTGTGCTTTTTGGTACAAAATACTAAACATTGTCTGAATATGAGTGAAATATCCATGTCAAATGACTAACTCTTTAAGTACATATAAAAAAAAATATTCTCTGGGGTGTACCATTCATGTAACTCGTGTACAAACCAAACACTTTCACTGCTGCACATTTGGATCTAAACCGACCTGCAATCTGCTACTTTTCTGGCATGAAGTCTGTTGTTCACAGCTTGTTCAGGGATGGATGGCTCCCCTGTAGGTAAAGAATTTTGGTCATAAATTAAGTATTTACACTGATAGAGTTGATAAAATATATCAATATCATATCTTGCAAAATGATCACATTGGAATCAGCTTTCCTCTAAAACTCTAAAATCAATAAAAACTGAAAATTGTAGCCTTTGTGAAAGAAGAAATATTTGCAGGGCAGGTGTCCCTAATAAATAGGCAACTGTACTGTGAATAGTACACATCCTGTTGAAAAAAGTGTCTCACCTAATCCAAGTTCTTCCACTCAAACGCTGTTAGCTGGTGGACAAAGGATGACACTCTGTTGTTGATGACTGCCATCTTCCGCTTCACTATTTCTCCTGTCCTACGACTCACTCCAGTTTTTGCGCTGCATTTGGTTCCATCAACTGGATTTATCTTATGTAAAGTTAGTATTTACTGCAAAAATCATGTCATTTTTCTGTGGGTTTTGCCTAGAAACTGTGCCACTGCAACTAATGTGAGGAAAACTACTTAACGTTAATTTTTACATCTTGAGGATAATGAGATATTTTAATTTGTTTTATATTCTATGGCGTCACACTACAATAAAACATGAACATGAAACATATTCACTTTTATGTTAGTTGTAAGATGTACTGCATATTTAGAACAGGCCTATGTTAGTTATAAGCTAACATATGAAATGTACAACAAATGAATCTAAAACTAGAAATGTGCCTAGCTATCACTTAGTTTACAATAATGCAATTAACTGAACTGACTTACAACTTACAGTTAGTCTCCTTACATTAGCTTATTATCAATGTGAACTTGACATAATACATTTGATTTTAAAACTCAAAAAGTCTTCTGTAAAATTAAACATCAACTCTGTTCACTTTGACAAAGTTAACGTTAAGTTACCAGTTTGAGCGCACAGACAATAGCTTATCTTTTTTTTTCAAGTAACATACTTTTGAATTCACTTTTCTGTTTTGTTTTTACCTTGGGTTTGTCGTTGGTTCGCTGTCTTCACCACAGGTTAACTTCCACTGGTGTTGTCTTAGTTGTGTGTGCCTGAGCTTCCACCCAGACGGTGGTGAATGAAAGATGAAACTACTGATGCATCTGTGCCAAAACGGCAGTTAGGCAAAATACAGTAACATGGATGTTACTGTAATCATATACAGTGGTTTACTGTAATTTTAAAATTTGATACATCAGATTTTTAATTACAGTAAACCGCTGTATATGGTGTCTGACGTCACCTAAAATTCCCATAATGCAATGGAAATTACAGTTATTTACTGGAAAGAGGATATACAGTATTATACTGGGTGTTATGTGGTTAATAACTGTAGAAATTACAGAAATGTCTAACAGTACATAATACTGCAATGTATTTCTCATTTCACTCCATGTATCTTGTGTTGGTTTCTAGATTCTCTGCTAACCATTGAGACCTTCATATGTGACATGAGGGAAGGAAAAGACACTGACTGGTATTACAGAATGAACAAGGATGGTCAAGAATATATATCCTACTACACAAATAAGGACTATACATTACAACCTCTAGTTAAAGGCCACAGCGGTGAATACCAGTGCTTTGGTCATCACAAGGTCTCAACTAATTTTATAAAAGAAAGTAATAAAGTCTCTCTAACTGTATCAGGTAAGTGATCAATGTTTTACCATCATGACCAACTTCCCTAAAAGTACTTAAATAATAATAATAAATGCTGTTGGAGTTCTAGTGTAAATACTAGTTTAACCTTAAAGTTTGACCAGCTCCACTAAAGCTGTTTATGCAGCCACTGTGTATGAAGGAGAATCAGTGACTCTGCACTGTAGACATCGGACTCAGACAGAAGAGAAGAACGCTGTCTTCTATAAAAACGGATCACTTATTGAGAGGGACACAAACCATCAGTCATCAATAATATCACCAAACACAGTTGAAATGACCATTCAGCCATTGAGGACAAAGAATCAGAACCGATAAAACTGAAAGTTGAACGTAAGTAGTTTTCAAAATAAAGTTTCAACATTCAGGGACATTTTGCCAGAAGGAGCTGCAGACATGTAGCATTCCCAGAGTGAAGCAGAGAGATGATTTCTCTGCATTATCTTAGAGACACTGGACACAAAGAGAAGGCTGTGTCTAAATGGTCATTCATTCATAAAAGTTTGTTTAAACTTTAATCCATGGTCATTAAGAAACATAAGTATAGCTGCTAATGATTTCCATCAACAATTAGCCTAGTTGTTGCACCACCAAGAATGCTGGATTTTGTATTTCTCATTTCAATTATCTTTTAAACTGGACTTATTTACAGGTACATTAAGTACTGTTTTTACATCCATCCATCCTCAACCGCCAGTCCATCGCAGGGCCACACACAAACAAACAACCACTCACACTCACATCCGCACCTAAGGACAATTTAATTCAATTTAATCTAATTCATACACAAAACAAGCAGAAATATAAGTCTTTCATATTGTTCCTATCGGTTTCACAGATGAAGAAATTATCCTGGTGAGCCCTGTCCATCCTGTGACGGAGGGAGATTCTGTTACTCTTGGCTGCAAATTGAGGGCAGAAAAAATGCTTTCCAATGTCACATTCTACAAAAATCATCAAATAATGACAGAGAGGAGCTGAATATCTCTGCAGTCTCAAAGTCAGACGAAGGTTTCTACAAGTGTGAATACTCAGGAAATGTGTCACCACAGAGTTGGATGTCAGTAAAATGTGAGTATGATTAATAAGTCCTGTGTTCATTTTTTATGTGTGCTACAGTAAATCAGCAGATTTCTGTGGTATAGCTTCCTTCCACTAAGATTCAGGACACATTTTTGAAAATCGTCCTCTCCAAGTAAAGTAAATGAATCATTTTCAGTCAAATGTGGTTTATTTGTTGCAGTAAAGAGTCTGCAGCAATAACAGCACATCAAATCCAGAGTTATTATTCAGTGACCTTACACAGCCGAATGCTTCATAAGGCTCATTGTTTTCCTTTATTTATCCACTATAGTCTTCCTAGAATTAATCAAAAGAAAAAAAGGGCAACCCGTTGGAGATACATAGACATGCACCAAATGTACCAAATGAAAGGATCGATTGATGACCCCCCCCCCTATCACTGCGGGATGTTCCATTCTCAGTCTACAGGCCTGTAAAGCATGGGTGTGCTTTTGGTGACAGGAATGTTGATGAATACTCACTGTTTTTATCAATATTTCAATGTTATGTTATTTGGAACTTGGATGTATGGACAGAAAAAATGTATTAAAAATTTCAACCAATAAAAGCAACATTTTAACAGTAAATGTTGCCAAAATATGGCCATTCGCCTGGTATATTTTGAATGAAAACTGTTGTATTTTAGTTTAATTTAATCAGATTTACAGTTACAATTGCATTCTAGGTGTATTAGAAGATATTCAGTTGCATTAAAAGCTTCGTTATGATGGTTTTGATGGTTTATTGCATTAAAATATAGTTAATTAATAGTTATTCTTTATTATTGCAGCGTCCAGCTCTCCAATTCCTCTGCTGCTGATCGTTGGGCTGGTTATTTGTATCTTCCTGTTTGTTCTCCTGTCATTGCTGCTGCTGTGTTGGTACAAAAAAAGGACCTTTTCTTGTTTATTCTATATAAATACCTCTCTGCATATTAAAATCACTGAGGAATTCTGATGTCAAGATATGGATCAGTGATTCAGTTTTCAAAACAAAATCATGTAACGTAATAATTACGTCTTTCACAGATTCATGTTGTCACAGGTTGGTACAACACTCTCTTATCTCATCTTCAAATTAATGTAACGTAACAAACATTTTAACACATTAGTACTTAAATAACATGGTTTACTATATATTTCAGGCTCATCCAGTCTCAGAGAACCAATCAAAGCTCTGCTACAGTCCAAAATGTCAACCAAGATGAGCAGCAAGTATACTCCTCTCTTCTCCATGGTCAGTCTTCTAGCTAATCTTGTATTACTTTCAAAACTATTTCTGACACTCTTATGTCTTAAATTTATATCTAGATATTATATTTAGAACTATTAGAAACAACAGCATTTGTGGAAGAAATTTATAAATAAAGCTTGATGGAAAAATAAAAAATAGATAGCGGCACTGAAGACACAAAAAGGCACTGGAAACAGGCAGAGTTTGGCTCCACTAAGAGTCAATTATTCTTTTGCAAGACATGACAATGAGTTTGCACCAACCAGGTCTAAAAATGCAGAACTGAAGCTGAGGTTGCTGCAGCCTGGTTTTATACCCTCTACTCGTACACTACATAACATGCATGCATAATAATTATATGAATATCCTGACTACATATAACATACAAATATATGTTGTCTAATAAATAAAATATACTGATTACAAAACATGTTGATGACCATCTCATCATAGAAAGGCAACTTATAGGCACATTTGTCATTATCTTAACTTTTGGCCTATGTGTACATAATATCCACGTTATATTGGAAACTTTTAACGTCAGTTTTCATTTATACACATTCAGCAGGTTTAACACTGTTACGCTAAATCATCATGGACATGAGGTTACTAAATTCACCTTTGATTTTGTTTTTCTTCTGACCTGTAGGTGATGTTTGTGTCTATGAAACAATCAGTGGCTCTGGAAACACTGGAAGTGGTAAAGTATAAACTCGGATTTATGCAGAGCAGTCCAGACTGATAAGATTTAATTGAGTGATTAAAATTAAAGAAAGTAAAAACTTTCAAATTTCAGGTGAACGGACAAATGTATACACAAATGCCACATCTGAGATTCAGCTCAAAGCTCTTGTAAAGAGAAGTAAGTACACAAAATTTTAAACATATTTTGGTCACATGACCATAGGATGGCCAGTGATGTTGGGTGATAAGGTCTGGATAGCAGTCAGTGCTTTTTAAATCATCCCAAAGATACTGGATGAAACTGAGGTCAGTTCTTCCACACCAAACTAGCTTGCTTTATGCAGGAGGACATTATCATGTTGACGTAGGAAAGGGCCTTCCCCAAGCTGCTGCCATAAAGCTGGAAGTAAAAGCACATTAAAATGTCATTGTATGCTACAGCCCTAGGCCAAACGTTCACATTGGTGTCCACATAGTTTGTGTGTAGCATAAATTATGTTATAGGTTAATATTTCAAGTACATATTTATCACTTGTATTTATTTTGATTTCCAGGTTGAGAAAATGAGAAAAGCAGGGACAACAACATGAAAAACAACATATTTAAACAGTGTTGACAGTATTTATAAAACTGATGCCATCCAAACATCATCAGATCATGTGAAAGACTTTCAACTGTAATATGTATAATATAGATTTAATTTCCTGTTGATTTCTGCTGAATTTGCCTTTTTATTTTTATTTTTTATTTATTTTTATTGCAATAATTTAGTTATTCTGTAGGTGAGATGGCATATAGGTCTATATGTGTGTCTTTTCATGTCAGCATGGCTTTCGGCAGGGTGTTTTGTTGTCTAGAGTCGTTTCAAGCTTGCAGTTAAATGTGGTAGCATTTTTGGTAATGTCATTATCATTGTTTTATTTTGAGCCTGCAGATCTGGGCTTCATCACTTTGTACGTTCACCATTCATTGTGTGTGTGCACTACAGTCATCTGTGCAGCTCACTTCATCTGCTGTTAACGAGACATGTCATTTATCTAGTAGTAGCAGCCTACATGTCTTGTAAAGAATTGGAAAATTGGAAAATGGAGACTTTTTTGTCAAAGACGTACATTGTGGTTACTCTTTACTCTATTTTTAGAATTTGACATATTTACCATCAATAAAATATCGTTTTACATAAATTGATTGTGTAAGTGGTGAAATAATTTGAAACAGACAGTTTGTTTACAAACATCTACTGCTAGTCTTGGCAGGTGAGAGACACTTTAGATTGTAATTGTGGCCCTGCTTCCTTTATTTTGCTCTCTGTTAGTCTGCGACTTACTGAGCCCAAACACCTTTTTCCCTAAAAAGCACAGCATACATACAAACAGAAACAACATCATATGTAATATATAAAACTAATTTTATTCCATGAATAGTGTTTTGGGGACAATACACTGGTCATAAAAAATACTTTCACAACCACAGCTCCAGAAGAAGAGGGGAGAGAAAGAAAGAGAGAGAGCTTCCTCACTTAATGCGCCAAGTATTCTGAAATGAGAAGTGATTACACATCTTAAAGAGGTCATATTGTGCTTTTTGGCTTTTTCCCTCTCCTTTAAGTTATATATCTTTTTTGTGCATGTAACAGGTTTGCAAAGTGAAAAAGCCCAAAGTACACCCCAAAGGGAGTTCCCATCTCCCACAGAAAACTCAGCTTGTTTGTAGTCCAGCTGCTTCCCTTTCATCGCCTCATATAACGCTCGCCAAGTGGCTACTCCGACACACCCTCAAAAACACCGATGGAAAAACACTGAGCTGCAGCACAAACCTCTCCGGGCTTCAAGGTATGCTTTCTCACATTTAGTGGGCGTTTCACAGGTGTTTTGGTGTTAAAAAGGTATGAAAATTTAGTGCGCTTGCGTAAACAGCAGGGTGTTCAGGGAACCACCGTTTCCGTTGAAAAAAATGTTTTGCTACGTTTTGTCTGCGCTGAACTCAGCCCAGCTTCTCATTGACCCGCCCTTCTCTGCTTCTGATTGGCTAGTAGCAGAGATGGGGACTCGAGTTAGAGACTCAGACTCGAGTGCGACTTAAGTCGCACACACAGTGACTTCAGACTTGACTTGAGACTCGTCCTTAAAAGACTTCAGACTCGAATCGGACTCAAGGTGCGGGACTCGTGAACAATGTTTATTTTAGGAAACGTCTGATGAGCTTGCCGTTATTCCCTCCCTCTGTTAATATAACCTGCCTACATTACATGGTTGTGCTCTGTAAGTTAAAAACAGGTTACAGCTTTATTGTTGACCATGTAACTTTACAGTTTAATTTAGTTAACTTTACACTGGGTTTGAGAGTCAACAGGGTTTGTTGTCTTACAGTAGTTTATAAGCTGTAATTAATAGTAGACGCATTGTACATTAGGCTACATGGTTGTGCTCTGTAAGTTAAAAACAGGTTACAAGTTTATTGTTGATTATGCAACGTCACAGTTTTATTTAGTTAACGTTACACTGGGTTTAAGAGTCTGGGGAGTGTTTTGACGTACAGTATTTAATAAGTCGTCAATAATTGCATTGCATATTAGCCTACATGTGCTCTGTAAATGAAAACAGGTTACAGTTACAGAATTACAGCTTACAGCTATGCAGTTTTATAAGCAACCTGGATTGAACGCAGCAGGTGATACAACATTCGTTATAACCATGAGAGACTTGACTTGGACTCTAGCTCAAAGACTTGTGAGCATCTCTGGCTATTAGTCCTTAACTAGGAACTGTGCATGTGCAACTCCCAATAAAGGTAATTTAGAGACAAGATGCATCACTCCATAGCTAAAACGAAGCCTTCAACACAGGGTGAAAAGAGGAGCTGCAGCAATGTGCAGTATGAAAAAACATATGGTGGTGAAAATTAAACCATGTAAACCTGTTCTGGTACAACCCCTAAATAAGATTTTGAACCTGACAATCAGCATAATACCACCTCTTTAATAAAGACTTAGCAAAACAGCTTTCTTGACCAGAGGAGTCAGGCATCATGTTTGTTTAAGTTTGAGGTACAGTCACATATCTGAAATCATATTTCTATCTGGCCACGTACAGTATGATCTTATACCTCCCACAGACCTTCTGCTGGTTTCAGGTAGACTTTGGGGGTAATTGTGTCTAAAATTATATGGAAATATGGAACAATATGGAAAATATTTTCTTTTTATGTTTGTCAGCTAAATAAAGGTTGAATTAACATATCACAGATTTTTGTTTTTATTGTCTTTTGGAAAAGATCCCAACTTTTCTGGAAAAGAAGGTTTGTATGTAACAAGTGCATCATACAATTCTGAACCTTTTTCTTAGCTGCAGTAGTTCGTAGCTGTAGTTCAAATGAGACGACATCCAGGTTACAGTTCAGTTCTAAGCCACTTACTGTATCACAGAAAGATTTTAAAGGGGAGAGAACGTCAATCATATTATTAGACAGTAATGTGGGAGGGCAGGTGGAAATGTGACATGTTCCTGCTGCATCCTATTGCCTCTCTATGATTTCCACCCCATGATGTAAAACATGTTAAAATATCTTATAATTGTTTAGATTTCATTCAAAGAAATACATCTGACGGTTAAGTGACCTACAAAAGTCCCTCAGCTGTACGAGCATCTCTCTGCCCCCTGGTTCAAAGTTTGTGGTCACATCTCAGCTCTGCAGTCCTTCACTACCCAGAAGCAATTTACTTTTTACTTTACTGGATCACCAAAAGTAGAGGGAAGATTATAAAACAAATTAAACTGGGTGTGTAAAGGAACTCATGCTAAAGCTATTAGGAACACTGGTGACAGGCAAATGCTGTTTATTGATGTAGAAATATGTCAACCAAACTTTTAAAGTACAAAACATACTAAATCCATCCAGGTGAAAATAAAACACATCAAACTATTTATGAAGATAAATTGGAAAATGTGTGACAGAAAATGTTGTTACAAATGTGTAAAGCTTTTTCATGAAAAACTGAAAAGATGCTGAATTAAAGCCATGCTTTAAATTTTACACCCATTTATAACCCATTTAACCATCCATAAAATAAATAAAGACAGTGACTAATCCAAATATGCACATTATATTATGCTGCATTTTTACCAATAACTGTTCCTGGTTTGACTTCAGAATAAACTGTTTCATCCGCTGCTGCAGGACTTGAGTTTCCTATAAAAGGAGAGACAATCTATTTTGATACATTTGCCAGTTACACACCAGTTTACCATGATAATGTACTGATACATGTAGGCTATGTAAACTGTTTTCTTCAGCAATGTGTACATCCATAATGTAAAATAAACATACGAAACAAAACACTAGATAACACATGTTACAGGTTTGAATAGTATGTAAACAAAAAAAACAAATTTTTATTACTTGAAATCAGTAACACCTAGCATTGTAAAAAAATATTGAAACATATTTCTGTTGGATGGACACAGAACTCAAGGCCACTGTGTGAGAAGCCACTTTTCAGGTTTAATTTGTACAGCAGTTATAAACTGTTTATGCTGTGCGCCTGTAAAGCCCACTGAGACACTGTATGTGAGACTGGGCGATACAAATAAACTTTGCTTAAAGGATTGGTTCACACTTTTTCAAGTGTGGCTTAAAACAATAGTCACATGCCCATATGAACATTGAACATGTTTTGCTTGCTATAATCATCCCCCCCTGTTCATACTGGCCATGAAGAGATCCCTTCCTAATGAGCTTTTAATGGAAGTGATGGGGGACAATAAAACATTTTTACAAGGAAGGAGGGCGGTGGTTAATGTAGACAACAACAACAGCTGGTTTCAACAGCTGGTGAAATATTATGTCATAATTATTTAATCAAACATATCTGAAAACAACATACTTTAAACCAAAAAGCCTTAAAACTCTTATATATACAGTCTATGGGGTTACGATCTGACCATTGCTGCCTTCTATTGGAAATCTTAAAATATTACACTGTGGCAGGCAGCAATAACAACATCTAAAGCTTTGTTGTACCTGTCTGAACCTGCAGCTGATCCTATCTTCACATCTGAATAAACAGGGCTCACCTCTGGTGCATTATCAGATGGATGCATGAAAAGACATTTCCTGGACTTAATTTAGGCACTGCTGGACACAAAAAACATCTCACCTAATTGACTGTAATTCTCACAACATAAAATAAAGTACTCACCCTTCTTAGCAATGTTTTTCAGCTCAATCAAAGAATATGTGACCTCGTTGGATTCATCTGAAATATATATATTGTTTAAAGTTCAGGGGTTGTCCATTATTTATATTTACCTTAAAAGGGCTATATGTAAGTTTTTGATTTTAATAAATCCGGAGAAACCCGGAAGGGAAGAGTAGAGGACGGCAGCTGCACCAAAGACGGCAAGCTAGAGAGACGCGGTGGTCACCACGCACGACGTGAGGCGGAGAGTCGACGGAGACGAGAAAGGGACTGAGGTGAACGTCGGAAGCGAGTCAACCACACTGCCGAGCAACCCTTTGGCTAGACGCAGCGGCCCGGAGCCAAGACGAGACGCCTCGGAGTAACTGGAGTGAGGAGTGGCCTGTGGGGGAGGACGTATGTTTTGCTTACATTTTTGATGTAGCTGTTTACTTGCATGCACATTTGTTTGAAGTTTTATATATGACTAACTAACCCTAGCGGAACTATTGTGGGGAACTTTCTGACTGCCAAGCATCCTGTCACCTAGGTTACTGCTGACCACTACTGAGAGCAGAGGAAGGGAGTTGGCGGGCTGACCGAGTGGAAACTGGGATTTTAAAGACCGGACAGATCAAGGCTTGCCCAGTGACTTTTATTTTGAGTTTTTATTAACTCTTTTTATTTTTTAGGCCTTTTGATGAAGGGATTTTTGTGTTATTGTGTTCTATTTAATAAAGACACTGGCATTGGTTTTATAAACTGTACTGGTCTGAGCCTCCCGTTCCCCAGCAGAACCTTACCCAAATTAAGTTTTAATTGTTTCTTTTAACTAGCCGACCCGCGGGCTAACACCGGGCAGTTGCTAATGTTATCCGGTGCAAAGTTGTATCACTTTCTAACATTAATTCACAGACTAAAGTGACCCACGTTATCCTGTCTACCACTGTTTATTTAGCCTGCAAGGAATTTAACGGCAAAAAGCAAATGTGGAGCGATTTGTTCACTATCCTGTAGTGACGCAGCCAGCTAACGCTACATTAGCTCAGACCTGCCGAAGTTTGCTTTTACGATTGCCTTTTACTTATATACTCAGGTACACAGCTTCTCCACCTCTGTCGCTGTAACTAACATGATCCACAAAATACAACCCAGAGGAAGAGACATCCACTAACATTACAGTAAATTTACTTACTGCGGTCTTGTAAAGTGTGACACTGTCTCGTTATAATATTCAGCTCCTCACTAATCGTTTCGTTATCAATGCATTTAGCTGTGCTGACATTGCTGAGCCTCCGGTGAAAGATACACGGATAATAAAGATGGTTACTGAAAGCAGCAGGAGAGCTAATGTTAACGATGTAGCACATCGGCTAAATGCAGTACCATGAGCATGGATTAGTTCAACCTGCAGCTGATAAACGTGTATTTTAGTCTTTATCTTGTATTGTTTTTTTGGGTATTGTCTTTACACTTGTTAAAGCACTTTGTAACTTGTGTTTGAAAAGTGCTCTAAAAAAAACTATTACAGTAATGTTGATGTAGTGAACAGCCATTGTGGATTTGATCATTTTATATCAAATAAATTTGGAGATCCCAAATTCTTTGTCTGGGCAGAGAAGGACTGGTGACCTTACCAAGGTGTACCCTGCCTTTTGCCCGATGCCAGCTGGGATTGGCTCCAGCCCCCCACGACCCTGTACGCAGGATAAGCAGTAGACGATGGATGGAACCAGTGTCCCCCATGAGGACAAACTAAGCATTACATGCCATCGTTCTGAAATGCCGCTTCTGCTGTGTAATTGTATTACTCTGTACTTATTTGTTCGTAATCTGATGCCATGTTCGTGTACCCTGCTTATATTCTCTAAGTAAGAATGTGTAACAGCCAATATTATCCAGGAAATATTGAGTTAAGTCTCTTTCATTCTGAAATCCTGAAAATGTGTTTAACTGGTAACCACTCTAATATTACAACGATTAAGTAACTTTCCTTTTTATCAAATGCTTAAAACTAAGAACGGTATAACTGTTTGACATTAAAGGTTTGATTGTGGGAAGATATTTGATTAAAATACGTGCATATAGTCTTTAGGACCATATTAAAAATATATATATAAAAATATACCAAAGCCTCCTCCTGAGACCGGAAGCCAAACCCCCTGGGGACACGCCCCAAGGAGCCAGACCAACAAAACAGCAGAGCTCTTTGTCGCTCGCACTCTTCTCTTGTACTTTGGCTATCCAGCAGTTCTTGGCACGTGCTCAGCATGCTCCTGTTTCCTACCAACCTAAGGGCCCGGCGCCACGCGGTGATTTCTAAAGCTCTCTTTGTCTTCCACCAAACTTTTGTTGAATTTATCTTTTTCTTTTGTTTGTAAAGTCATCTTATTTTCTTTTTGTTGAAGTTATCAGAGCGTTAAGTCACGCAATTTTAATTCAAGAACGACCAAGTTCTTTTAAGCTTTATTTCATCGAGTTAACTCACCCCCCTCCAGGACAACAGAGTCGGGAGGCCAGCCACGTGAATAATAACAAAGCACAATCAAACCGACAACCCGAGCCAAGATTAAAAGCCTACCACTTCAAACCAAGCCAAATGAGGACGGATCTCCGGAGCAATTCCCTGGCAGAGAAAGCGTCCGGCCGACGGCTTGTTAAGCCGCCCTAACCAAGAGCACACTCCTTTGATATGAGATTGACTGATTTTATAGAAATTATTAAGCAATTACTACTAACTTGTGTAATTATTAAACCCCTAATGTTACCTAGGGAGTCCGGAGACCCTAGGCGAACTGAATCTCCAGTGGTGCCCTAACGAGGATTTATGAATATTAATATTTCTGAAATATTAACATTCATAATTTGTATTAAAATCGTACGTAGACATGCTACATTGCAGTAGGGGTTTACCTGAGTTTCCAGCATGTTGTGTGAAGCAGTCTCTGCCTGTCTATAGCCGCTGTCACTCTGCCTCTTTTCCGGGAGGACTGTGCCGATATGCGGCTCGCTGCGCTGAATGAAGTAACGTTATGGAGTCGGTGTTGATCTGTCTCTGAGACGGGAACGTTGAAGTAACAGAGTTTGAACATGTCTTTGTGAAAAGCCACAGCCTGCATGCTGGTGTTCCTGCGTTTATTGCAGGATTTCTGTATGAAAGTGGTACGGTTTCGGGATTCTGCTCGCTCATGAGTTCAAGTGAGCATGCGTACGAGCACACGCCTGGTTACAAACTTAAAACCGAACCGCTAGTGGCCATTGGAAACTCCATAATGCCCCTTTAAGTCATCTTATTCTAGTATTTCTAACTGCTCCGTGTTAAACAAAAAGCATATACTGTACCATTTTCAGTTTCTTCAGGGCCTTTGATTGATTCATAGAGACGAGCATCATCTAAAGAGCAGAGAAAATAAAGCTAATGTCATATTAATCAGTGTTTCAATTACATTATATGAATTTCATTATATTCTAAAACAGATAACGTGAAATGTAAACATTAAGTTTAATGTAAGTGATTAGTTATAAAGGATTAAGGCTGACCATGGAGAGGAGAAGAGTATTTTTTGTGTTGAGTTTCATCCTGGTTGATCATGTGATCTGTAGCAGAGCCCTGATTGGTGCTCTGAGACCTGCTGGACCCAAAAACACACAGTAAATACTGCAAATTTAATAAGGAACATGTGATGTACTGTTGTTATATTCAGGCGGAGAGGAGAGTGTTGTACCAACCTGATAAAGCATGAATCTGTAAAAAAAAAAAGAAAAGACATTTGCTGTTACATGGTTTTATTACAGTGCAGGTAATGACATCAGACTACATCTGTGAGTTTGACTAATCAGTGTGAAATCAATCTAATATCAGAAGGAGAAGAACTGACCTTTTGACTTTCTGCAGCGATGCAGAAACAGCAGCAGGAGAATAATCAGTAGAACTCCACAAACCAGCCCAACAATCAACAACACAGGAAATGGAGAGCTTTCAGGCGCTGCCATGATAAATAATCTATATTAATATTAATTATATGACACTTTTCTCAAATGCTTTACAAAAACAGAGTTATGGTCACATCAAGCCTCACAAACGCTGACTCTCATCCAGGGCAGAGAAGATCGATAGAACAATATATAACAACCTAAACATATCACATACACAGATTAATCTACAGCACATACACACAAATACAAATACACAAACTAATAGGTTCAATCAGGTGAAACGAAGCTAAATTACTTTTCCATCTCAGACTGCGACACAGCTTAGAAAATGCTGTAGAAACTGTTTTAATCACACTCACATTTTACTGACATCCAGCTCTCTAGTGATGATTGACTCAGCTGATCTTGTGGTGAATATTTTCCTTCACATTTATAAAAGCCTTCATCTGACTTTGACACTGCAGGGAGAGTCAGCTCCTTTCTGGTATCATTTTGGATAAGTTTTCCATTTTTAAAGAAATACACAATAGAAAGAACATTTTTTGTGTTCATCTGGCAGCCAAGAGTAACAGAATCTCCCTCAGCCACAGGACGGACAGGGCTCACCAGGATCAAATCACTGCCTGTAGAAAGAATACAAGAATATGAGATCAGCTGGTGCTGGTTGAACAAGCTGATACACAAAGATGAAACAACATTTTAGATTGTTCACTAAATTTTACAGATGCGTACAGTAGCTGAACAAATAACTGACATTTGGCTTGTGTGTGTAAAACTTTAATGTGTCTTACTGTAAATGTTCTTTCTATCGTTTTATTATGTGTAGCCTACTGCAGGTTTCTAAAAATCAACCAGCATAACTATTACAGTTTGTTTCACCTTCAGTCAGTGACATAATCATTTCAGTACAGATTACCTTAAACCAGAATTTTTCTTTGTTATAGGTGATATGAGGTTTTAAAGACATTAAAATGTTGACTGTTTGGCAAATTACATAAAGTAAAAGCAGCCAACCTTCAAACAAAAAGAAACCATTATTCAAAACTACTGAATCATGACTCCACAGGATATAGAACAAATTACTTTGGTTAATGTTGGTCACCTACAAAAGATAATAAAAATGTGATGAAAACTCACTCTGTCTAGTGATGTTGACTGCATTGCTGAACTGTCCTGTTTCAGACTCACACCAGAACACTCCATCAATGTACTTTGGTCTATTGGTGTTGCATGTGGATCCAGTCATTGTCCCCCAGAAAGAACAGTGTGTCAAGCTGCCAAATTTAGAAAACCTCCTCACTCTCCACTTAGTAGAGTTTCCTTCACAGCTCAGTGACACGGGCTCTTCGGTGAAGTGCTGCACTCTGTCAGGACTCACTGTGAGAGACGCTGCTGGATGAAAATCTGAAAAACAACATGTAATAAGGAGACAAACAAAGCATATAAAATTAAGATAGAAGACCATAAAACAAACAATCATATTATTGTGTTTTTAATCTTATTATTTGTTGGTGGATAGAAACAAAAGATCACACCCATAGAGATTTTTAATGAGATTAAAAACACATCAATGGAAATAAACCTATTCATTCGGGATTGTATCATTTTCATGGTTGAGGCTTAAATGGTGCTGAATTCTGCAACAGTGTAACACAGTGCACATTTATGCCATTAGTGCAGGGGGGATGTGATACGTGTCTGCAAATGTCAGAAGCTGTAGTTCACAGAAGGTGAATAATGCAAAGGTGCATAAATTGCATTACTGCATTCTGAGTGAATAATATCCCAACAGAAGAAGACAAGAAGATAAAAATCCAACCGGCATACAATGCATTTCAGAGAGAATTGATGGATGTTTAAGTACCACAGGGTACCTCTCAGGTTATGTAGAGGTGGCAATACCAAAATTCACACATCCTCCATGACAAATAAAAGACATTTTTATTTAAATGCATTTATATGTGAATGCATTTGTTATTTTCCAGAGCTGGGCATTGATGGCATGTGTTCGTATTAAACATCTGTCTTAGATAAAACTAATAACTGAATTAAACACAGAAGGAAAATCAGTCATGAGACAAAATACAGCTGAACAACTGAAATTAAAACCTTTTCAAAAAGCTTTTATGGTATCTAATTAAACTTGAAGTTAGGATTTCCAAAGTCAAAGGGGTCTGGAGATTCACTTATGTTAAAATTCAGTCCAACAGAAGAATCAAAAAACACTGTTCTGATTTAGAGAAGAGTTTGGAAAACTGAACATTTGAACTGATGCTGGTGTGTTGGGAATTGTTATAGGGTCAGCTAGGTACATTTCTTCAGTTGTGCGAACACAGAAAAGTCAAAACAAACTGACCTCCAGACCAGACAAACTTTGGTTCACTGTAAGAAGTGTAATACACTGGATCTCCTCTTCCAGCTCTGCACTTATATCCTGCTGTGTGTGTCTGTCCATGAACGATGTAGGAATCCTGTTCAGTCCCGTTGCTGCTGCCAGGTAGCAGCTCTTGGTCGTAGTAGTAGTCTGATAGTTTGGGAACAGCCTTAAACCAGAAGAACCTCCATCCTGCAGATGGATCTTTAACTCTGCAGCTCAGAGTTACTGAGGCTCCAGGACTCAGCCAGGATGGAGACACAGTGAGGACAGGCTGGGGTCTATCTGTTGGAAAGGGATTTAAAAAAACAAACATGTTATGGTGGTGGATTACCCGCTTGTCTTAAAACATGTGACCAATATAACATTTTTTTTTTTACATTCTGCAAACTTACGAAATATGACTTACAGTCAGATAGTGTCAATGTGAAAGCATCACTCCACTCTGTTGAAGACTTCCCACTTGTCATTCTGCCCAGACACCTGTACTCTCCACTGTGTGATGATGAAGCAGATCTGATGATAAAATCATTTGCTTTTTGAGGTTTGTATGAGCTGGATGTCGTCCATTCATACTCCCACTCAGTGTCTCCTCCGTTCTCAATGTCACATCTCAGACTGATCGTCTCTCCTGAGTATATTTCAGGCCAGTTGGGTTGCAGAGTCACAACAGCCCTGTTTGTGACTGTGAAGCCACCAGTATTCAAATAACAAAAGGTAAAATGTTTTTTAGCCTTAATCTCAATTAGCAATAATGTTATAATGTTATATAATATATATAATGTTATATATACAATAATGTTACCGTATATACATTTATTGTTTCATTAGTAATTGTGTATTTTGAACTATAATTCTAAATGTCAGTTTTTTTAGTACCGACTGCATCACTGTACTCTGTGTAGTAAACTGGGTCTCCTCTTCCTCCTCTGCACCAGTAGAGTCGTCCCTGTGAGACACTGATTTGTCCATCTGAGATGAAGACAGCATCTTGTGTGTTCAGAGGTTCAGAGGTTTTCTCTCCTCTGTACCAGAAGTATTTCCAACCAGATGACGGGTTCACAGAGCAGCTCAGGGTCACACTGCCCCCTGCTGGAAAGTCTCTCCTGTCAGCTCTCAGTTCAGCCTTTGGTCTCTGTGCTGTTTGATTTAGGACAAAGACATAAACATAACATAACAGTAACAGTACTTAATGTCCCTGTGAATAAATCCAGTTTAAAATATAATTAAAAGGAGAAATACATAATCCAGCATTCTTGGTGGTGCAACAACTAATTATAGAAAATAATACAGATGGACAGATTATAATAATACAGATTGTATATAATATTAAAATATAAACAGGTGGAAATCATTAGCAGCTATTCTTATGTTTCACACTTATTAACGACTGAAGCTGTTGGCAACATTAACATAAATCATGGATTAAAGTTTAAACACACTTTTATAAATGGATGAACATTTAGACACAGCTTTCTCTTTGTGTCCAGTGTCTCTAAGATCATCTCTCTGCTTCACTCTGGGAATGCTACATGTCTGCAGCTTCTTCTGGCAAAATGTCCCTGAACGTTGAGACTTTAGTTTGAAAACTACTTACGTTCAACTTTCATCTTTATTGGTTCTGATTCTTCGTCCTCATCAAATTTACACATGTAAGAGCTCCTGTCTGACAGTAGCTGAATGGTCATTTCAACTGTGTTTGTATGGTTTGTGTCCCTCTCAATAAGTGATCCGTTTTTATAGAAGACAGCGTTCTTCTCTTCTGTCTGAGTCCGATGTCTACAGCGCAGAGTCACTGATTCTCCTTCATACACAGTGGATGCAGAATTTTCCAGGATCACGTTCTTGTCTGTGTAACACATGTGGTTCTTTGTTTTACTAAGTCAGCTCAAAAAAATGAACAAATCTTTGAATACAAGTTATGACATATTAGTGATGTGTATTTTTAGCATACTTATAATTTCACTTTAACATTAACTTGGAGACAGAAGAAGTTTCTTATGTCACTATTACTGTAAGTAATGAATAAATAAATTCCCCCCTCTCTTGAAGGAGGCTACACACTCAGCAGCCCTGTTTAATACATTACTGTTAATACATCACTTATAAACACTAAAAAGGGCTAATTTCTAAAATGTGTTTGTTAGCTTTACAAAAAGAATAGAAATAGGTTAGTTGGTAAATCCTTATGATCATTATGCAAATCTTTTGATGTGAACAGCTGAACCCAGCCCATTTTTCTTGTTCTGCTTTTAGTTGTCATAATTATGTGATAACACGATTACACAGTTCTACAGCTGCATAAACAGCTTTAGTGGAGCTGGTCAAACTTTAAGGTTTATGAATCTTAAACTAGTTTTTACACTAGATTGAACTCCAACAACATTTATAAATAATTGCTTTTAGGGAACTTGGTCATCATAGTAAAACATTCATCACTTACCTGATACAGTTAGATAGACTTTATTACTTTCCTTTGGCAAATATGTTGAGACCATGGGACTTCCAAAGCACTGGTATTCACCACTGTGGCCTGTATGTAGTGGTTGTAATGTGTAGTTCTTATTTGTGTTGTAGTGGAGAAATTCTCGACCATCCTTGTTCATTCTGTAATACCAGTCAGTGTCTTTTCCTTCCCTCATGTCACATATGAAGGTCACAGACTCTCCAGTAAATAAAGTGGACCAGTTTGGCTCAATGATCAGCAGAGAATCTAGAAACCAACAAAAGATACAGGGAGTGAAATGAGAAATACACTGACAGACAGAAAAAGGATGCGTTCAAAGAGTGATACAGAGTCATCTCGATGAATATAATAATAAATAAAGAAACTTGTATTATTACCTTGAGCATGTCCACAGTAGAGAAGGATAGTCAGCACTACAACAGAGTTTGAAAATTCATCAAAATGACAGAAACTATCAAAGATACATTAAACAGTTATAAGATGGTCACTATGAATCAGAGAAAGTCAGTGATACTCACAGAAAAACCCCAGCACGCAAATTAAAATGTGTCCCATCCTCAGATCAGCACTGACACTCTGTTTCTGAGAAATCCTTCTACTGTGTCTGAAGAGAAACCAGTAACAGAAGATACATTTCACATAATATTCAACCGGAAGTTTTTTCCAACTTCTTCTTCTTGTGAGTTTAGAGCCTTCCTTCCTTCCCTTTTACTAAAATATCACACAATTAGACTGGGTTTGTTCGCACGATATTTTTTGGCACTTACAAAGGACATAAGACTATTGAATTTAATTACATCATCTCATACTCAACACATCTCAACACATAAACCTGTGAGACTTTATGTTCTGTTTAGTTGTTCATCCATCCATCCATCCATCCATCGTCAACCGCTTATCCTGCGTACAGGGTTGCGGGGGGCTGGAGCCAATCCCAGCTGACATCGGGCGAAAGGCGGGGTACACCCTGGACAGGTCGCCCAAGGACACCTAAGGACAATTTAGAGTCACCAATCAACCTAGGCCACATGTCTTTGGACGGAGGGAGGAAGCTGGAGCACCCGGAGAGAACCCACAGAGACACGGGGAGAACATGAAAACTCCACACAGAAAGGCCTAGAACGACCAAGGTTTGAACCCACGACCGACTTGCTGTGAGGCGACAGTGCTAACCACTGCAACACCGCGCCACCCACTGTAAAATGACAAAGAAGAAAAACACTGGATGTCGACATTGCTAGTCCTTAGAAAGAGGACATGTTGACTTTGAAGGTCCAGAGTCTCTGGACTTTGTTTATGTTACTCTTGTTTGGACTATAACTCAGGGATTTGAGACACCTGTCCTATGTACATCCTACATACAGTTTGCCACCAAGTATCACAAATTGGCCTCAAGGGACTTTAAAATCTGTCCAGCACATGACATCCTCTACCCTTAGACCCTCAATACAGGATTATCAGGATAATGCTTTAAACCCGTAGGTTGGAGTGCATTTAACTGTGGCCAGAGAAAGCTCTGCATTTCAAATACAAGAATAACTGTCTAAAGGCTTTGATGTTTAAAAGCAACAACTAGTTCACAATGAATTGTTGGAGCCTGTTTGAAGCCATGAACAAACAGTGGCAGACATTTTCTGTTGGCTTTGCTTGCTTCTCATAAACTTCTTATGTTTGGTAGAATCATTAGCATTAGCAGCTAAATGTAGTGTTCTTCCCGGATCACTGTAAAATCTCTTCCTCTTAAAACACAAACACAATGTTCCTTCTCTTGGTCAGTCGAATGTGATACATGACTGATGTGAGGATCAAACCTGTGACATCTTTCATATTATATTACAATGTGACACATGGTAGACGAGCCTGGAATATAACCAGTTCTTAACTTGTTTAAATTCTGGCGGAGATAGTATGTAAATTGACATGGTAGAATATAATGTACTGCTCAAGAAAAATGATGAATACTATTGGGAGGTCGTATGATGTGTGAGGCAACACAGAGACATTTCAATTTCCTTCCTGACACTGAAGATAGAAAGATTGCATATAACTGCTATTTCATTGAGGCTCAGGAATCCTTGAAGCTATTGTACAGGCTGCTGCATGAAATGGTTACAGTCAATGGTTTTAATTATTTATAAAAAAAAAAACTTTCTAGATTTAATAAAGAGAGAATTAGAAGAGAATAATATAATTAAAATGCCTACCTGTAATTCATGAGTTTCCTCACTGGCAAAGGTTTATCTGAAAATGTGTTAATTTTCATCTTAAATCAAAAAGTTAAAGTGCAGTACTGTAGAGAAAGTATCCCATCACCCCAGCACAGAAGCTTTACATGTCCTCGCCTTATGGTGAAATCCTGATTTTAAGTTTGGTCTTAATTTCACCCACAGGAAGAGACAGAGCTTGAGAAATAGTCTCATGACAGAAGTGAGCGTGAGAGCCAAAGCCCTGCCCCCTCTCCCAGCTAGCACCTGTTGCATTAGTTGCAGCTGTGAGTATTTGTGTTTTATGTTAAAAAAATACAGTTACATTTTTTTAGCATCAGTTTTTTTTTTTAAATATACAATCATTTCTGGTGGTGACTGTTAAAAAAAAAAAGAGAGAAAGTTGAAGACCACAATCGATTTCCAAATCTAAAACAGAGGAAGCGTAGAAAAAATCCCTAAAACTTCAAGAAATTTAGTGGCAGAACATTCTGTTTATGAAGAGACAAACCTAACAAGATTTTAAACTCCTTTTATATTAATGTAAGGATGTGAACATTCCTCCTGTGATCTCCGCTGTTGCCTCTTTGTATTGTCCAGCGCATGATTTACATATATGTCAGCATCACACTCGAAAGTATCTTCATGATGAGATGCCATGAGGTTTGTGTTTATTTTTTCAGATTTTATCTTATCTCTGAGATTTCTGCCTCACCCTGATACAAAAGAGATTAATTGAATTTAAATGAATATATTCCAACAGCAACATTTCTTTTCAAAGCAAATGTCTAAGTTACTCTGAATAATCCACAGATCAGCGAACAGTTTTGACTGTAACAAGTCCCTTAAAACCAACATCAAGTTCACTTCATGGCTTTTGCCAAGCTTTAGTGTCAGAAGAGAGCTTCTATCAAGTCTGGCTGTCCAATCAAAAAAGCAATTTAAAACACAACAGACAGTTTACTGCTGGAAAAAAAAGGTTTATTCACACGCTACATAAAATGATTAAATATTTTACCTGTTAAAATAACTAATAATTGCCTTTCAATGCATTTTAAAGGCAGAGGAAAATGTGTACATGTTACAATATATTTAGTTTGAGAGCAGATCATTACATTTTGTATATTCAACTAATTGCTGACGTCCATCCTGGATCTTTCTCATCCATGACTGAAAAAGATGCTGACATTAAAGCTACACTATCACCTGAGTACTAAAGCTCAAATATACTTTAGCAAACTGCTACCTGCTGCAGCTTTTTGGAACAGCTTGCTTTCAAAGTTTAAAACAACGACGAAAAATGAAAAATAATAATAATGCAGTGCATAAATGGGAATAAAACACATGATAATCCATATGACTTAATTCTTTTATAAAAAAAATAAATAATAAATTGATTGTACATAATGTCAACCAAAACAATATTTGAGATGCCCTTTATTATTATATCTATTCCATATTTATATATTTCTACATTTATTTATGTCAGCTGTATGTTGGGGTGAGGATGGTGCAGTTGCAAAGGCATACTGGTGTGAGCCTTTAGTGTGAGAAACCTGGGTTAAATTCCCCACTGTGACACATCCACCAATGTGTCCCTGACACTTAACCCCTAGTTGCTCCAGAGGACCTCTGACATGTATAGCAAATGTAAGTCGCTGACTAGACAAAATGGAGAAAGTGGAGGGGGAATTTCATAATCTGCAGTATGGCTAGAGAGTAAAAACAATGAGACAAAAACTATTCAGTTTAAGTTTAAGTTTTATGTCTGTGAGATGCAAATATAATTGAAACAAGTGACACACACATACAATAACATTCGCATCCTGTAAATGAAACAGACAAACAGACACATGTTAATCCAAACTCTGAGCATGCCTGTTGTAACTGACTGTACTCGGGGTTCCTATCTTCCCCTCAGAGTAAACAGAGCTCTCCTCTGGTTCATGTTGCTTCCCTGTTAAAATAACCAGATGAAAAAGGAAACATAAATCAATACTTCTTTTGGCACTTCAGGTCAAACATCTCTAAACTATTTCTATTTATTGTATGTATCTGGAGTACTCACCTTTCTTCCCAGTGTTTTTAAGTTCAGTCAAAGAAAATCTTCATCCTGGGATTCATCTGCATCTGAAATATACATATGCTTTAGTTACATCTATAGTCTCAGAATAATCATTAGACCTAACACCCTTCTCTGATGATGACATTTTCATCAATGATTACACAAACTGATGTAGATACTTCATACTACCACAATCCTAAGGAATTGTTTAAAATATTCAGCAACCAAACTCACAATTTCCCCGTGACCCTGTACGCAGGATAAGCGGCTGGATTGATGGATGAACTCACAATTTTAGCAATAATCATGGCCCATAATGAAGAAGTGTGATCAGTCTATACATAGCCCTGTCAACCTCCACATCATAGCCTAAACTGGGAGACCAAACTTAACCTGGGATCTGGGAATGTTTCCACACATAAACAGTGTGTCAACCCAGATACTACTTTCTTACATTGTAGTAAATTTATGGGGTAATTTTCCTGGAATGCACTGGTTTAGTTCAAACGATGGAGGGGACAAATAAAGAGGTGGGTCTGGCGGTCCTCCCCTAGGTAATTATGAGCATTAAAGACTTAAATTCCTGCATTCTGGTGAATATTTCTGCATCAATTTATGGTTTAACTTTATCTATATAAAGCGAAACACAATATTAATGCGGTAGATGACAATTTAGCTAAATAGAATATAATGCAGTCAGGCTTTCAGGCATTCAGCTATTGCTTTTAAATATGTTTTCTCCTGTAGATCAACTTTTCTAATTTAATAAAATCCCTGCTGAGTCAGTACATGCATGCATGGCCTTCCCTTCTCTTTTGAGTCTCCATTTGGGGAAATAACCTCTTTTAATAGGCTTACGTGGGACCTTTTCACCTCAATGATATTATGTTGTGTTATAAACAATGTTATAAACTCCTGGACTTTAATAGCTCCTGTGGTGCAGCAGGTTTTCTGCTCATGTTAAAAACTTTCTGCACATTCAGAATCTCTCCTGTAGTGTTCTCTGACATGTCCAGAAAAAAATCGCAAATTACGATATATATATTTAACGTCATCCTTTAATGAGAAATCATAATATTTTTAAGTCTACCTGGCCTCTCCTGTGCTGTGCATTACGGTATTGTTCCGCTGGTATAGTCTATCCCCTTTAGACCGACACAGTTTGGGGCTGCATGCTGCATGTAAAACCGAATCCAACCCAAAACACCACTGATCTGGCAGAAATCTCACCAAAAATCCACACGTTAAATTCAGCAGTTCCGATAACGTGCAGCTCACAGTCCAAAACAGAGCAAGGCTGCGCTTCACTTAACATGTTTATATTGCAAAAATCACCAAAGTTATCATCTTTGGAAGTTAGAAAATTTAATCCAATGGTTTGAGTAGATATGGACTGAAGTGGTGGACCCATTTCCATGGACAGAGTCACAGCACCAGTACCCAGCTGGTGGCTCAATAGTTAGCACATTTGTCTTTGTCTTGAAGATTGTAGGATTGTAGGTACAAACCCTTGTTGGACAAGACTCTATGCAGGTCCTGCCTGTGTAAAATTATGTTATCTAGAAACAAGAACACCACAAATCACATTTTAAGTAAATGGATCCGGTTATAAGTCTTCTTGGACATCCTGATTAATTCTATAAATATTGTCAAGTGTACTGGCAGCCAAATGGGCTTTCTTCAAGCAAAACAAAAGATCACATTTAAAATGTTCAACTACAGTTTGAGAGGATGAATAAAAAGGTGTATACTGTACTATTTTCAGTGTCTTCAGGGGCTTTGATGATTAAAGTTAAACATTCTCTGATTTTTGTATTTAAAAGTGTGTATTCATACATCAATTTAAATGCTTCCCGTGGACAGGAGAGTAGTACTTTTCAGCAGAACCTCGATTAGTGCTCTCAGACTGGATTGGCCTATGAATCAAATACAATACAAGATGGAGCAGGAATCTGTGAAAAAGACATTTGTTGTTACATGGTTTGGTTTTGTAAGTTGTTAGTCAGCTATTCTGTGTCATGAGATCAGAACACGTGTGTTTGAATAATTAAAATCACATAATATCTAATAAAAGAAGAAAAGGTCTCACCTTTGGACGGTCTGTAGCGATACAAAAGGAGCAGAAGAAGAATAAATACGATTCCACAAACCAGCCCAACAATCAACGGTACAGGAACTGAAGAGCTTTCAGGTCTGGACACTGCTGTTGAAAACATTCGATTAACAATTAACCATTAACAATAAATCATGACTATCACACCCACTAACGCAGACTTCATCCAGCGGCGAATCCAACAGGTGAAATCAGCTGAAACTGACCCATATTTAACGTTACGCTTACTGTGGCAGCGACTTCTAGTGGCCGTAAAACGATAGCACATGGGAAAGACGAGTAATAAGAAAAGAAAATAGCCATAGGGTACTGCGGAGGTGGTGGATTGGGCATTCGGCTCCCGTGTGAAACAAGATTAATTAAGCTTTAGCTTTTAATGAAGTTACTTATGGTTGAGTAGCTTAGTAGCATTAGCTAGCTATGTTAGAGAGTGTGGCGCTCGCTAGCTAACTGTGTTAATGTTAGAGGAATTGACAGGGCTGTGTGCCTAAACCTAAGTCAGTGATTGTATTCATGTCGACCAGTTAACCCTACAGCTGCACCTACATTGTGTTGCTGTGGTTTACATGTGTTTATGTCAGGTGTTGTAGGTCACATGATCTACGTCACATAGGTCCCATTGGGAAACGGAGTTCAAAATTGCTGTTTTAAGATATATGGACAAACTCCAGCAGTAGAGGCGCTAGAGGCATGTTTCTTTCTCAGACAGAGACACAGTTTACACAGAAGAAGATGCAGCAGTTGTTTTAATCCTACTCACCTTTAACTGACATCCAGCTCTGTGCTGACTCTTCTCCTGAGTGTTGACACTTGTAGAAACCCTCATCTGACTTCAACACTGCAGAGATGTTCAGCTCCCTTCTGCTATCATTTTGAATCAGTTTGTCATTTTGATAGAAAAACACGTCTGAAACTAATTTTTCTGTCCTGAACTTGCAGCTGAGACTAACAGGATCTCCC